GAAGAAGAAGAAGAAGAAGAAGAAGAAGAAGAAGAAGACGAAGAAGAAGAGGAGGAGGAGGAGGAGGAGGAGAAGGAGAAGAAGAAGAGGAGGAGGAGGAAGAAAGGGGGAGGATGGAGAGAGAAGGAGAAACTTCAGCAAATCTGTTAAATTAAAAAAAGGACTGAAATATAGAAAGCCCCAAAACAGTAATTTTATCCAGGTTACAACAGACCTCCCGATTTCCTCCTGGTTGAATTCTCTTCCTTTTGCCTTTATTTTATTTTTTTTCCCAACTGGACCAATACTGCCTAATTTCCCACCTTATTTAAGCAAAGACACCAGGCCTTGGTGCCTCACCCCCCCCAAATCAGACCCCTAAGAATTTTAGGGGCCTGTTTTAATCTGCGTTTCCAAGACACACACACACTCTTGCCTGCTGGAACGGGGGAATAATTGTGGTTGTGGAGCCGCTGTAGAAAACAACAACCCCTGCATTGTCTTTACAAGTTCATGGCCAGCTTGGGAGAAGATTTGTTAATTCCCATTTTCTGTGGGAACAGAGAGGTTTTTTTAAAGGGGAGCGGGCCATGAGGCTGCCAAGAAGGAACACGGCTTGGCTTCTTATTATGTTAAACTGGCAACTGTGGCTTTTTAAACAAAACAACTTGCTTTTATTCGGATTTATTTATCCAAGGCCAGACACACACACACACACACACACCATCACCAACCTCCCCCTCTCTCTTTCCAGCCCCTATGCACTTACATAATTCATGCGGACTCAGCAGAGATAACTGCCAAGGTATGTGCGTGGAGGAGGGGTATTTTTAAAACACCAAGCCAGCTTTTTTTTCCCCACCCTGGCATGGATATATATACAGATGCCTTCCCCAAATGTTCCCTCTCTGGAAAAAAAAAATTGCACTGAGAAGGGAACAAGGAACAATCTGCTGCCTTCAAAATTAGGAGCATCGGCCGGCATGTCTTAAAAAACTGAGATCCCAAAAAGCAAAAAGATCATTTCGTGGATTTTAAAACGTACGTGCGTGCAAACAACACGGCCCTTCTCGTTGCTTTTTTTGGAATAGGTTAAACACAAACACAAAACCAGAACACATTTGTTTTTGTTTTGTTTTGTTTTGTTTTCTCAGGAAATCTTTTTATATTGATGTTGATGCCTGGGGAGGGTTTTCATAGTGTGTTACCTTTGAGCTCTGCTCAAAAAAATAAATATTCCAGAAGAAATAAATGTTCTAAATTTACAGGTTTTCAACTTGTCAATTGCGATAAATATAAGCCCATGATTATATTTGGGGGTCCTCTATGATGTTTAAAAGTAGGAAGGGTCCCAAGTGCAAAACATTTGGGAATGGTTCTAATTTTTCTAAAAGTCAAGATTTAAACCGGTGTTTTTTCAATCTTGGCAAATTTAGACCTGTGGACTTCAATCCTAACCCTTACCCTAATACACTACATTTTGATATGTATCCCCATTGTATGCCTTCTTATTCTCTTATAATCCCTTCCGCTGCAATCCCGCCATTCTAGAGACAGGAAGAAAGAAAAAAGACATGGCTGGCCTGGGGAATTCTGGGAGTTGAAGTCCACAGGTCTTAAAGCAGCCGAGGCTAACAAACGACATAAAATCTTTAGATATAAGCCAAGGCCCCATTTTTAAGACACTCACTTCAGCACCTGGAGGACACCTGGGGGCAGAGAGGTGGGACGGACCACGCCTTCGGCGCTGAGCGTGCCCAGATGGACCTGCGGATAATAGACCGCCCGGAAGGCCAACCTTGAGGACTGCAGCCTTGTCTTGATCACTTCCAGAGGGCAGGTGAAGATGGCCCCCACCGTCCCTCCGCATCTGCAACATTCAAAGTACCGAAAAAGGGGGGGAAAAAAAATATTCCCACGTGAGGGGGGAAAAAGAGAGAGAATAAACCCCAACATGACCTTGTATTGATTTAAAAAAATCAAACCTACTCTAAATTCTAATTAAGGAAGATAAGCTAGAAGACGGGCTCACTTTATGTGGTGCACAGTATCCTGAAGGCTTGATATGAAAAGAGATAAAGCGTTAGGTTAGATCAGACCCGGCTAACGGCAGCAGCCTTTCCTCAACTTTTTATGGATTAACTAGCTCGATACCCATGCTTTGCTACGAAACTATGTGGTGGGGCTTAGTTTTTGGGGAGGAAAATAAGGGGAGGGGGAATTGTGCCTCTGCCTACCAGCATCCCTTAGTATTCATCTCTGGTTAGCGTCCTGTCGGTGCGTGAGAGTTGAGGGCTGTTTGGAGACTGAAACAGTATTTGCTGTGTGAGCAAGAAGACAGCAAGGAGCCTGAGCGTGGCTTAGCTCAACTGTTCTGCACTAAAGCTGCTTGGTGCTCTGAAACTGAAACTGAAACTCCTCTGCTTGTGTTTTGCATTTGGGAGAGATTTTTTTTCAGGTGGGGAGGGGGAGTAGAACTCCTTAGCATCAGAGCGTGTTAATAATAATAATATAGGAAATACTAATGCTCTGATGGTCATTTCGAAGAATCCTTTCTTAGTGAGCCCCTAGAAGCCAAGAGGAACATATGTGCCAAATTTCAAGTTTGTAGGCTTTACAGTTGTGGAGATTTTGTGATGATGCGTGAGGGGTATTTCGCTTTTATATATATATGTATAAAGATTAATACTATCATTGTCACCAAGATTCTGTGTAGAGCAAATGGACCCAGACAATAAGTATACAGAAAGGAAAATAAAATTAAAACAAAAACAAAACAAAAAAATCCAAAAACTATCTCTGCTGGACTTGGGGAAACGTCAAGCCCTCAAGTTCACCTCTAGCGAAAGCCGCTTTGCTGCTACTAAAGTCAGCAAGAACTTATTCCGACTTGATCTTGCTTGATTAGATCTAACTTCATCCAACGTTTGGAACAATCTGCAGTCTTTCTTCCCCCGCCCCATTACGCTCTCAAAACACAATTGCTCAAGCCAATTTGTAGGGAACACTGGGAAGAGATGACCTTAACAAGTCGCAAGGGAGCCACGTGGGACAAAGCAGCAGGGAGGGACGCACAATTTTAGGACATTGTGTTTCGAAAGGAAGGGAGAAATGCAACAATTGGGAGTTGGTTGGTTGGTTGTGTGTGCGCAGGTGTGAGTGTGTGTGGAACCATTGCTCGCTGAGCAGGAAAAAAAAAATAAGACACAACTTTAGAAGGGCAAGGAACAGTCTGACACAATTAGAGGGACTTGCTCTTCCAAGTTTGCTATTTACAAAGGGCCAAAGTGCAGAGTGGGGGATTTGCAAAAAAATAAGTTAGATACATAAAAGTTTCTTGCTTTATCTATTAGGAAGGATATCTGGCTCTGAAAATCAGATTGTTGTTATTGTTATTAATCTTCAATTTGATTCACCGTATGGGACTGGTAAAAACTTAACTAACAGTTCAAGTCCAAAACCAAGAACTAAGAGCTGTTAAGATAGCATCTGAGTATATAGGCAGTTCCAAGGGTTTTTTGGGTTTTTTGTTTAGTCAGGATATTCAGGTCTAATAAGTTCAAAAATTTCCAGGTGTCTAGGTGCCCTTTGGGTATCCAAGGGCTCTATTATTATTATTTTAAGATTTAATCTTCAATTCACAATTCCGAGTAAGATGTGTTTTTGTTTTGTTTTTTTGCAAAATCAGAATATTCAGATCTAATAAGTTCAAAATTTCCAGGTATCTAGGCAGCCCTTTGGGTATTTCTCCAAGGGCTCCTATTTCTATTGGTACACCCACTGGTTTTCTTCCCCCATATTTGCTCAAGTTCAATCTGCAAATCACAATATATTATTTTTTCTAGCTGTTTCTCCCCAATCCATGCATCAACTTGGTATTACAATATCAATGAACCACACTTTTTTCTTTTCCACAATAATGAGGATCAAGCATGTTAGGAGCCAGATTTCTGTCTGCTGAATTCAAAAGTCCCACAAGATCTTGACTTGTTCATTTTCAAAAACTTTTGTCAGTTTGATGTTCCTCTTATTATTATTGTTGGTGGTGGTGGTTGTTACTGATTTAATCCTCAGTTTGATTCACATTCTGGGACTGGTAAAAACTTAACAGTTCAAGTCCTAACCAAGGATTAAAGAGCTGTTAAGATAATCTGAATATATATAGGCATTATTATTATTATTTTCGTTTATTAATTAAACATGAAACTCAGGTCAACTGAACATTTAAAAATGTACCACAAATATCACTGCCTATATACTCAGCTTATGGTTGATACAGGTTGCTGCCAGTATCTTAGGTATCAACCAAGTACATTACTATTAGTAGTAGTAGTAATAGTAGTAATACAGTAGTCCATAAGATGGTTTTCTTTGCACATCAAGACTCCGCAGAGAGATTCAGAAACCAGGGGGGGAATAGTTTAAAAAAAAACATCTTCTGGATGGGAAAAAACCTTGTCAAAGCTCCCCTTTTGTCTCCCCCCCCCCCAGGAGTATTTTAGCAACAGGGAGAGTGTGAAAAGTACTAAATCCCAGCTATATCCAGGGATTGAACCAAGAGTCTGCATTAGTGCCCAGAGACACTAACAAAGATAGCAACGCACTCCAGAAATACATACTAATCTTTTAAGAAGCCTTTTTCCAGATTCCATAATCTGCAGGTTTCGTAACCTTATCACAGTAATTTCATAATGACCTCCCATTTAGGGAAGTGTCTGTGAATCAGATATGACCCACACCTACTGAATTTTATGTTCACCACCGTTCACCACAGCTTTTTGATTCTTGACAGAGTATCTTTTCTTTTCTGTACCCTGAGAGCATTTGCACCAAAGACAAATTCCTTGTGTGTCCAATCGCACTTGGCCAATAAAAGAATTCTATTCTATGCTATGCTATTCTATTGCCCCTGGACTAAAAATTCCGATTTTGACAAGAGGAAATTGAATTCCCTGCCCCACTGAACAAACCATACATATAAACACTACCTACTACGGGCAGACAATCTCATGCCTCTAATTATAACTTGTCTGCTTGAATCAGTTACTTCGCCCCCCGCCCCCCACACAAATCGGTGGGTCATTTCGTCTCAAGCCGTCGCCTTTTGCACAACTTCCTTGATTTTAAAAAGGGGCTTCCCCCCCCCCCCCCCCCACCTTCCCTTTCGTTTGTTTGTTTCAGGGTGTGTTGCGTTATGCAAAGCGGAGAAATCTTTTCTTTGGGAAAGAAAGAGGGATGCCACGGGCGATCTATTGGCTCTTGGCGCCATGTGCACCTAGGGAATCTGATGCAATGGATCGGAGGCAACCTGGAGGCTGAGCTGAGCGCAGGGATCGGTCCCGGAACCCCCGCACCACCACCAACACTAGTTAAAGGTAGACTGCTACTGTCCATGGGAGATCGCCGTATGAAGTGTCGGGCGGGACAGATGAGAAAGGAGAGTCCCAGGGAAGGGAAGGGGGGGAAAATCAGAAAATCGGGGAGGGAGAGGTAGGGTTTAACCTGAAAAAGGAGAAGGAAGGGTGGAAATTCTCAATGAAAGGAGGAGGGGGATGAAGAAAGGGAAAAAAAGGGAGGAGACAAACGGAGGAAGAAATGGGGGAGAGAAGAGATGAATGGGGAAGGGGAGAAATTGATGAATGGGGGCGTGGGAACCGAGGGGAGAAATTATGAATGGCGGCGTGGGAACCGAGGGGAGGAAAGAATTGAATGGGGGAAAGCATTGAAAGAGGGAGGCGGCGCAGGACTCACCCCCCGGCGAACAGATGAAGCAGCGTGCTCTTCTCCGCCGAGACCCCGGCCATGCCCGCCGCCCACCCCCCACTCAAAAGCCGGCCTCGGTCCTTCCCGGCGCGGCGCGGCGCTACGAACTGCCAAAAACTCCGGAATGCCCGGCCAAGGAAGCGCACCCCGCCACCGCTCGCTACTGCGCCTGCGCCGTCGCGTCACGCGATGCCGGCGCCTGCTTCCACGTGCGGAGCGGGCCAACCACGAGGCCGGCGGAGGCGCGAGGGGGGAAGAGCGATGACGCGGAGGGGGGCTCCGAGGGCCGCGATTGGCTGGCCGGGGAAGGCGGGGTGAGGCGAGGACGGAGAGCTCGGTGGGGGGGAGGAGAGGGTGACGCAACAGAGCCCCCGGCGGGCGGCGGCGTCACAAAGGAAAGGGGCGTGGCTTCGCGGAGGGGGCGGGCTGGTTTGTTTTTCTTATGAATGGGACGCCGTGGGGGGGGGGTGGCCTGGGGAGGGGGCGTTCGCTCCCCCAAAAAGAAAAAAGTGGGAATCACAGCTCACCACTTGGTCCCCTTTCCCAGGGATGTGGGACTACAAGTCATGCCATGCGCAGCTACTTGGATGGGGATAAGGGAGGTGTAGTTCCCCCCCCTCTCCTTATCTGTCTGTTTATCTCTATTTCTTTATCCCACTGTCTGTCTTTCTCTCTCTCTCTCTCTCTCTCTCCCCCTTTGTCTCTATGTATTCCTGTCTGTCTCTCTCTTTTTCCCTCCTTCCTTCCCTCTCTGTCTCTCTCCCTCTTCTCCCCTCCCTCTCCCTCTGCCCCTCTCTCCCTCTCCCTGTCTCCTCCTTCTCCTCCCCTCCCTCTCTGTCTCTCTCCCACTCCCCCTCTCTCTCCCCCTCTTCTCCTCTCCCTCCCTCCCTCTGCCCTCTCCATCTCTCCCCCTCTCTGTCTCTCTCTCCCCCTCTCCATCTCTCTCTCTTCATCTGTCCCACTTTCTCCATCCCCTTCCTCTCTCTCTCTCTCTCTCTCTCTCTCTCTCTCTCTCTCTCTCACACACACACACACACACACACACCTTTGTCTTTAGTCCCACACTAAAGTTGTTCCATTAAAGCTCATTTTCCAGCGAAGGCCCAGAGAAAGAAGAAATGAGAATCTAAACCATGGTTTGCAACAGTCCATTTTAGCTTAAGCCAGGATTTTGTCCACCTGGGCAAACTTTAAAAAGGGACTTCAACTCCCAGCATTCCCCAGCCAGCATTCTCCAGCAAGTTTTGCCAGAGTGGACAAAACACTGGCTTAGAAGGTGACTCAGCCACAGTCTAATAGCGCCTAATGCTGCAACCTCCCCTTTGAACATTTTGAAAGAAATAAATAAAGACGGAACGGTGCATGGCAGGAAGCTGTCTTTGCAACACACCTTTTTGTCTAGAGGCGCATTGCCTGGGAAAGAGGAACACGCGAACCTGGTGTCACATTGCAACTCAATCCGGAGAGTCACCGGGGGCCACTTTGGCAGTGACGTTGGTCTGACAAGACACTTAGCCAAAGGAGAAGTGTGTTTCTGTGTGTTTGTGATCCACACCCCCTCTCTGCCTTTGGAGAAGAGAGCAGCTGTTTGTCACATGATTCCCCTGAAAGGAAGGTCAACTTCAAGGAGAGAGGAAAGATCCCACAACTGCTGGCCTCTTCATAAACAAATGCAAAAAAATGCATTTTTTAAAAAAAGTCAAAACTTCCTAGTAAAAAACACAAGCAACCCACAACCAAGTTATTTATTCAGTTGCTGTGGAGGTTAGGTAATCTATCAGCTCTTTCCCTGGTTATTTTAATGTCAGCCTTCACTTTTTTCATAAAGATAACAAAAAGGTGTGATGAATTAACTTCCCCAATTATGCCATCCAACACAGTGCTGTGCTTCGGTGTCCTTACCGTGTGTGTGTGTGTGTGTGTGTGTGTGTGTGTGTGTGTGGTATTCAGCTTTGTTCGGGTATTTTCCCATGTCATTGTAGTTGTGCTTTTAAAGTTGTAGCAATGTTTTGGCAGAATCTCATCTGCCATCATCAGGCTTCTGTATTGGTTTCATCTATTGTGTCGTCAGACGAACACAATACAGAAGCCTGATGATAGCAGATGAGATTCTGCCGAAATGTTGCTACAACTTTAAAAGCACAACTATAATGATGTGGGAAAATACCCAAACAAAGCTGAATACCATACTTACATATATACACCCTCTAGATTTTTATTAAGCTGCTGCCAGACTGACAGAACAATATGGAAAGTAGCACATTTTCAAGAAATTAATGAAAACTGTTTGCGGAAGGTTTGGCTATTATTTCAATTTTTTTCATTTGGCCCTAAGGATAGTTTTGCTTTATTCCCGAATAGCTAAATTAAAGGGAACCATCTTCTAATCTAGCACTGGTGTTGAGTCAGAGGAATTTTAAACAACTGGCTCTGAAATTATAAAAATATCTGAAATTCCCTAACAATCCCTTCCTTAAATCCCTATTCTCCCCCAAGAGCTTTGGCTGATAAGCTTCTCCAGCATCAATATACAGACTTTTGCAAGACAAGATAAGATGTCTCGCTCCATTCAAGTTCACAGATGGCATTGTTGGCCTTTGGGAGTTCATCTGAATTTAGGTCAGATAAACTTGTTTGCATACCCTGTTGATTTAAGGATCATGGGGTGGTTTTGAAAGACTCTGTCCTGGAGGCAAACATACTTCTGGACAGATGACTTTAAAACCTTCACCTTTGGAACAGTGGCATATTTCCCCATTTAGTGCTTAAAAATAACTTCGGGATGATCTGTAAGTCAGTGAAACAGACAGGGAGGGAATAAACAGAATTTGAATCCCAGTGATGTTTCAAGGCATTATGATTCCCATAAGCTTGTGGCACGCTTTAAGCCAATTGCCAAAATCAGTAATAGTAACAAAACTTCTGACAGATTGTTCAAATGTGGAGAATAAAACACACAGCGCATCCAAACGACCACTTTTGTTCCCATCCCAAGTGGCCAATACCAAAGGAAAACCACGTTTTCACCACTGGCTTTTTAAGGACAGGCTTAACTCACCAAAATGTGGCTTCTCTGCCAGATAATTATTTATAATCCACAACGTATTCTCCGCACAGAGAGAGAAGTAGCTTCACCACTTTGGAAAGGAAATAATCTTTTAACAAATTGGAGAAGGGAAATGTGATCAGTACAAACACTACTTTGCGAAAGAGGCAAAGGGGAGCCCAGAGAAAGCAAACAGAGCAGTGAAGAAAATAGACCCAAGCAAAAGGCCTCTGCCTTGTTTTATTACGTACTAAGATGCTAGTCCTCATGATTCTGATTTTAAAAAGGCTGGCTCTGATAACCTGCAGGATTCACAGGTACCTTGGCTAGTGTAGAAAGTCAGCACCCACCCCTCCTAGAAGAATGAAATATTTTGAGGAATACTTTTTTTTTTAAAAAAAAAGGCAGAATGTTATATTTTCCTAAAGGAGAAATGGAAGAAACATGCTCTTCAAAGACAGAAACCAGGCTCACATCTCCCTGCTCGCAAATAGATACTGAGGAGATAGCTTTTTAGAAATGCAGATTTGGTAATCCATTCAAGACAGGATTTTAAAAAAAACCCAAGGAAGCCGGCATCTCTAGGATTTAATTATATTTGTTAAACAAGATTAAAAATGCAAAGAAGCCAGCAACTTTAGACTCATTGCCACGCCCCAGCCTTCGGGAGACAAACTAATTAAAATCAATAACAAAATACACAAAACACTAAATTACAAAAAGGCTGTAGAAAAAAAAACCTGAATCAAAATCCACATTGGTCAGCTGACTCAGGACTGCCGATGGTTCTGCTTTATCATTATACCATCTTTCCAATCAGTCTCCCTGTTTCCAAGCATCTTCCTCCCAGCTTGGAACCAAACCAGATGGACATTTAGAATAGAATAAGAGAGCGGGAAGGGACCTTGGAGGTCTTCTAGTCCAACCTCCTACCTAGGCAGGAAATCCTACACCACGTCAGACAAAAGGTTATCCAACATCTATTTAAAAACTTCCAGTATTGGAGCCTTCACAACTTCTGGAGGCAAGGTGTTCCACTGTTTAATTGTTCTAACCTTCAGGAAATGTCTCCTTAATTCCAGGTTGCTTCTCTCCTTGGTTAGTTTGCACCCATTGCTTCTTGTCCTGCCTTTTGGTGCTTTGGAGAATAGCTTGACTCCCTCTTCTTTGGGGCAGCCCCTGAGATATTGAAACACGGCTATCCTGTCTCCCCTAGTCCTTCTTTTCATCAAACTAGACCTACCCAGTTCCTGTAACTGTCTTCATTTGTTTTATCCTGCAGTCCCCTAATCCTCTTTGTTGCTCTTCTCTGCACTCTTTCTAGAGTCTCAACACTTTTTTTTTTTTTACATCGTGGCAACCAAAACTGAATGCAGTACTCCAGGTGT